AAATCAGATCAAAAAGGGCGTCTTCTTCCTCCTCAAAGCTCGGATTTCCACCATTGTTGCACCTTCAACTTCAAACTTTCATATCTTTCTCATTTTAGCTCCAAATTGTGAGTTCTTTATATGTATTTTCATCCTTTCAATGAGTAGAATCTGAATCTGTGCTTAGTTTCTTCTATCTGTGCTTCTAAAATTTCCAGAAAATTATTCCACTATTTCGCATTTTCTTCTTAAATTTGAATAAAATAGTTGTTGACATTAAATCCATTCCAATTAATTATATAGTTGTTCACTAGCGTCAAGGTAGTTATTTATCAAAACAAAGTTAATTTTTACGAAGCAGAAGTAATTTTTAATTAATTCCGGCATTTAGTTGTTATTATTGCATATATTAAATTAATTACTCAAAAAAGGTAAAAAAAATAGTTTCTGTCCTAATTCAAGTTTAATTCACAGTAATATCACTCCCAGTAGTCAATATAAAATTTAGAACGAATTTAGAATATTTGTAGTTGCTTCTTTTGTATTGTCTAGTTAATATTGGGAAAATTATCAATTAGTTGTTAAAATTGGATTTTAGGTGATAAAATTCGGGAAAAATTCCAGAAGGTGATATTTTAGTTCTACAAGTTTATTTTGGCAGAATATTATTTTTGTTTAATTTTCTCTATTATACATGCTTAATTCCTTGTTAAAGTTGAATTTATTCATTGTATTGTTAATTGAAAAAATGATGTTTATTAGCTAAAATTGTTTTGGGCATGAATTGACTAAAGGAATATGGATTGACTTGTTGACCAAAAAAATTAGGGATTAAAATTAATAATGGGGACTAGTTGTTTGAAATGATGAAATAGTAATTAATAATTGTTAGCCATATTCATTAATTAAATTCTTGGAAAATTATCTCTAACTTGTCTATGAGATTAGAAAATAATTTAAGCCAACCATATTTAAGCACATTAATAAGGCCTAGAAATAGGATAATTTAATGAAAGGGATTTACATCTTGTCTATGAGAGATAAATTCAATTGCTTAAATAATGAGTTTAACTAGTTAATGAATTTGGCTATTTTTATTAATTAAACTATTGGAGAATTATTTCTACCTTGTCTATGAGGTTAGAATTTAATTCAAGCCAACCATTTTTAACACATTAATGACACCTAGAAATAGGATAAATTAATGAAAATAGTTTCTATTCTTGTCTATGAGGAAAGAAATTATTAGTCCAATTTTAGATTTAATTTCCCTAATTACTAGGTCCAAGAATATATCCATTTCTAATTACTCAATTCATTGCCCTTATTTGCATCAGTCCATTTAAGTTCAATATTATATTTTTTTCCTTTAGTCTATTTTTGAGCCATCATTAGTATTCACACAATTTAATTTACTTTCTTTTCCAAAAAGTAGTTTAGAAAATCAATCAAAAGTTTTAATTTGGAAAGCTTCCAATAATTTGCGATAACCTGTGACTGGACTTAAAATCAAGAAGCTCCTCCGCCATTCCTCGAGAGACACGACACTCGGGGAAAAACCGAAAGGTTAGACTCCGTTTTACTACAATGCCGCGAAAGCGGTTATCAAAAGTACATCTCATTCAACGTCAAGGATTAAATCCTCTCAACCAACGGAGGAGATTAATCAACCGGAGAAACCTATAAATAGAGGCACAAGCATGAGTTCTAAAACCAAGTTTTTGAGAGTCTTCTAAGTAGAGTATATTATATTGAGCATCTAAGAGATATCCAACAAAAGAGAAAATGCTTGTTTAAACTTTGCTCTCTGCTTAGACTCATGTTTCACTAAACTTCCAAGTTAGAATTCTCATTGCTATATTCTGGAAGTTTAATTCTTAGTTGGAGGCTAGAATTTTTGTTACATCATAAATTGTTGTAAACACTTAGAAGGACAGTGTTATGTAGTCCTAAGTGTGGATGAATAGAATAGAGTATCTTTTGATCCCCACTGGATCAATTGAGAAAATCTAAGGATTAAGTAGTTTTGAGTGGTGTGTACTCCTTGTGAAAACACCTTCAATCTAGGTTAGTTGTGTGGTTAAGGCCAGATTGGCATTAAGTGTATTGTGATTAATACTTTAGTGGAAATCCATCTGAAAGAGGGTGGGACTGGACATAAGATGATTACCCCACCTCTGAACCAGGATACATCGTGTGTTGATTTACTTTCAGTCAACAAAGCACACACCAAACATTTGTTAAACTAAGCAGTCACTTTAGCAGTCACCTCGACAGTAGTCTACTGCTCACCCCACTGCCAAGCCTACTGCCCATTTATACACTCTCTTAAAGACATTCCAATATCACAAAAGCCTTATACACTCTTCATAAATACCCCAGTTCAATCAGAAGTCTGAAAATCATAACCTTTACTCCGCAGTAGCCTCAGCAGTACTCTGGGAGATACCCTACTGCTTAGTCCACTGCTTACCCAGCTGCCAAGGCAACTGCCTTTCTAGATAAGTTTAAATCTCTCTCAAATGCTCTCTTTGAATTACTTAGACATCATGAGATTTATCTGACCGCCCTCCAAACTTCCTTATTCACTTACTTTAAATAGAAAGTTGTTATTCATAGAGGTTTAAGACTTCTGTTGTGCATCTTTAATCTCCCAAAAGGTTATAGATCATCATATCCAGTAGGGAAAGTTTTTAAAGTTGAAAAAGCTTTAAAAGTTTATTCACCCCCTCTAGACTTTTACCTCTATCAGGGACCATCAGTACATATTCGGGACACCCTGTGTTTGATGATTACTTCGTCCTGAACCAAGGCGTGCGACCCTATCAATGATTATTTGGCACGGGAATCGAAACGTTTTGCTTACCGTAGGATATACCGGTTATGTCCCGCCACGCGTTTGATTCTGATTGACGAGGTTCTGCGGTGTTAATTATAAATGCCCACCCCCATACGGGTCACTCATTTACTTCCTCTCTAGTCCTTACTCTGTGCATTTTACTTTCTCTCTAGATCTCTTACACACTCTGTAAGTTTCCAACTCTTTAGACTCCGTTCGTCGTCATATCATGTCTTCTAGAGCCGGACCCTCGGCTTCTTCAAAGCCTGAATCTCTTTCTATAAACCCAAGTGCCCGGGGCAGTTCGTCATCCGCAGAAGACCGGATGGATGATGGATGCCTCTCTGGTGACGACATGGAGTACTACGAGCGGGGAATGCCACCTCAACCACCTCATTACTCCTTAAATTTTCACAACATTCGGCGTCAGTGCCAATGCCTACTCCCGCGGGACAAACGGATGATCAGTGAGTGGTTTTACCCTCTGTGGGTCTACGATGATCGTCGACTGCATAATCCCATGCGCCATCTGCCATGTGGTGGTGCATCAAGGCTCGGTTATCGCGGGTCTGTTCTTCCCCTTGCACTCCTTCCATATGGAGCTCTTTAGGGATTTAAAGATTACCCCGGCACAACTCGCCCATGTGTCTTATTGGATTATAGCAGACTTCATCATCTGATGCCATAGTGTGGGTGTAGTTCCTTATGTGGACTTGTTCCATTATTTCTTCAGGGTGGACCCGTTTAGACGCACGAGATACCTGAGCCTGACCGCTCGTCCCTCGAAGGTCCTTTTTTCTAACAACGAACCGAATCTGGGCGGCTAGGAGGAATGATTCTTCCTTGGCAGGGTGGGCTCCCCGATGCACTTCTCCGATAGGTGGAAACCATATCCGGTGAAGTTTGCCCCCCCCCCCCCCACCCGCCAATGACGGACGAGGAGATGGGGCATGCCGACCGCATAGCCAGTCTTGACGTCCAAACCTTATGCTTCTCGTCACAGAGCCCTATACGACCCGAGCTAGGCTAGGTGCGTCCGTGTATACTTGGCGTTTTTCCTTCCTAACTTTGTATTAGTGATTCTGACCGTCTTCTCTTTTCTTGCAGGTGTTTACGCTAATCTCCCCCGTCATGGGTCGCTCCAACAATATTCCCCCGATCCTTGGCCACCAGGAGACCCAGAAGAAATTGGTGGTCCCCAAAGAAAAGCGTCGAGTGACTCGGTCGTGGTCGGAGGCTGGCTCGGGGGCTAAACCCTCGTCCAAGAAGCCTCGTCATGAGGAAAATGCTTTTTGGGCCATCGTAGTTGTAGATGAGTCGACGAGGAACCTGGTAGTTCCCTGAAGCGGAAGTCGTCTTTCCATACTAAGCCACCCCCATCTCCTCCAAGGAATTCAGGCGTCCGTAAGCTCATAGATGAGGACGTTCGTGATGCTCATGCCTCCACATCCCAGCCCCTGAACTTCAAGGATAAGGACGCTCGCGGTGCTGGTTCTCACGGTGCCCACGCTTCCCCGACCCCGAGGATAAATGATCTCTCCTTGGGGCTTATCGAATTTTCTGGTGTCGGCCTCGTAAGGAGTCGATGATGTTCTTCGGTCACACTGCCTCCTCCGTCTGGTGCAGCCTTAATGTGACAACCCGAAAATTCAAATAAAATAAAATAAATATTTTTGGGTTACAAAAAGCGACATTTTAAGGTTGACCAGATAAAATTTTAACAAATGACATAATTGAGCAGATCTGGGTTAATAGTATGTACCATGTATAAAAAAAAATTATGTACCATGTGTAAAAATTATACGATTGCATAATTGAGCATTAGGTGTAATAGTATTAACCATTATAGTACTGTGTAAATCTATACTACTATATATACTATACGTATATGTTGGCCCACATGTACAAAAAATTTAAACATGGTATAATAGGAATAAAATAAGATTAATAGGTTGTGGCGACCTTTCGTACTCCTGCCATATCTCACACGCAAACTTTACATGTAAGCCACAATTGATTTTTCCGTAAAGCTTATACTATGTACATGAAACCGCAGCAGACACTTCGTGTATGCGAAGTATTTTCATTTCCTTATGTTAACCTGCCATATGCATTTAGCTAACGAAGGAAACAGTGTTATTTAAGTAAAAATTAATGAGGAAGATTTGCAAACGTACGAAACGTGAGATAATATTGAAGGAGTCGTCGTAGTATTTAACGCTCAAAGCCTTAAACCTATCGGATGAGTGATATACACAGTCTAGGTCTCCCTCTTATCAGTATAAATACATAACCATTGACCAACGTTTTCTCCCGTTCAAAGAGCAACAATGATATACACCTATATACGCATATATACATAGAAATCGGACTCTTCGCTGTACCAAAAAATGAGAGATAAAACCATCTCAGACCTTCATCCAGTGAGATGGGAAGAAGACAAGAGAGAGAAGGAGAAAAACGAACGTCAGAAGTCGGAGAAATCTCTCGCCGGAGTTCACCGGGCTAGGTTCCACGCCGGAGGGAGAGTCGTCAAGTTGCGGGACCGAAGTACAAGGTCGTCTTCACGCCGGAAGTCACTGGAGGAGAAACCTACTGGAGTGGTTACTAGACGGAGCGGTTACTAGACGGCGCCTGCGGATCACCGTTGGGCGAGGCTTCCGTTGGCCGGCCAAGAGCATCGACGAAGACGACGCACCAGAAGCTCTGTTTCTTTTTCTTTCGTAAGTGCATCGCTGGTTCTGTTTTATAACTTTGGGCTTGGACCTATTAAAAACTAGAGGGACAGTTTAATTAATCAAAAACTAATGAAAGGATTATTATAATAATCAAATGATTAAAGTAAATGGTTCGAACACCGAACAATTGAGTAATAAAATAATACAGGGGAAAATCGGATGATTATAGAACAACGGACTGATTTTGAAATCTTAATAAAAAAGGTGATCTAGAGACCGAGTTAGAAGGCGTGCACCAGGAGCGTCACCAATTTAAGGTAAGTTTCTCTGCCGATCCAAAATGTTTTTCCTCGTATTATATGATTATTATGCTATGTGTGATTTTGTTTTGAGTTATAGATTATGCATATGTGATATTTGGAAAAGATATTGAATTAATAGTATTTTGAGAAATGCGAAAGATGCATGTACTTTTGGGGTATTAAATATTTTTGAGACTGTTTAGAGAGATTGAGAAATATTTTGAAGTGTATCTTGATTCAAGATAAAAGGAATGTTTTCATAAGAGGTAGGCACCGCGGGAGTAATCTGAGGTGTTGGTTTTCCACGTCCCTTAAAATGTGGAGGGTGATTAGAGCTGCTACTACTAAGGAGTACAGTTTCAGTTTTGAGTGACATTTGGATCTTTGATCCCTTTTAAGAAGAAGTTGTACTGTTGTAGTAGCAGTAGTCCCTAATCATTCAGAAGTTTTTAAAGGTGGGGTAGTTGGTAGACTGAGTCCCGACTACTCGTGACGACTTACTACTCGGAGGGCTTGGAATCCCTTTTAGGGGGTGTGCACACTTAAGGTAGTCGTTTCGTTTCCATTAAGCAGTTGTGGTACTGGCAAAAGTCCCAGGGTGGCCGTACATAACAACGTAACCACCGGGCTCAACTAAAGTGTTGAGCACCGCCCTTCTAAAAGCTAGTAAGGTACAAAAAGCTATTTTGACAAACCTAATTATTTTACGGGGTTGGGTAGTACTTACTTAGCTCTAAAGCTAATTTTTGCTTCCTTTTCTTTGTTTTGTTTTCTGCACTTTATTTGTGCAGGTGATGATGATTATGTTGACTGGCGATTGCATGATCTTGAGAGCGGTTTAGAGATGCCTTAGTCAAACTTAGTCAGGAATAAACACTTTATTTATATTGAACACTTGTTTTAGTTGTTGTTTTTTTGTTAGCCTGTGCATTCGGTTAAGAGATGACCGGATGTGACGGTAACACTCATTTCCCTATTAAGACTTCCGCTGTAATTTTCAAATGACTTATCAATAAATAAAAGTTTTATTGCAAATATATCAATATTTTGGGTGGGAATTTTGGGGGTGTTACACTTAACCTCAAGGTACCCCAGGACTTTGCTCCTCAGGAAGCTCCCGAGGACCTTCTCGAATGTGGTTAGAGTACCCTTGATAAGTCTGAGATCTACCACCACAGAGCCCGCTCTGCCTTTGAGCAACATGGAAAGGAGATGGCCCGACTGAGGGTTGAATGTGATACCCTGATGAAGGCCGATGCTCCAGGAGAAGGCCGATGCTGCTGACAAGCTTGTCCAGAAGAATGATTCCCAGAGAAAGATCATTTAAAAACAAACATCGTAAATTATTTATATGATAATAGAGTGAAGATGATATTCAATTAAAAGATGAATGAAAAAGTGTAGATGACCACCCAAATATCACTCAACACACTATATGCGACAAACTTAATGGAACGAATCAACAAGAAAATATGAAATACAACTAGTGGGACAGATGAATTGATTAACTAGTAGTATGCATTAAGATATAAAAAAATACTCCGTATTTTTAGATAATCTTCATATTCATCACCATTATAAAAAGAAAACTGTAACAAAATTATAAAAGCATTATGATGTGTTACAAATATTTATATAAAATATTTTTTCAAAGATAATTAGAATTCGTGAAGATAAAAGGTTCAATAATGGTCATACAACAGAGGAGAGCAGGAATAGAAGGTGAAGAGACTGGGGAGCAAGGAGGGCGAGAGTCTACAACTGGATCTAATAACAGTGTTTCTAAAGAAGAAGACATGGAAATCGCTGGGGAGGTGTCGGTGGATCAGAAGTGCAGAAGGATCTGGGAAGAGCAGCTAGAAGAGGACCTTGTGGGCGAGAATATGGCTTTGGATAAAGCAAAAATAGGGAGACGGCGGGTCCGGGGCTCTAGACTCGCCGGTTATGCAAGTGGTTTTTATGATGGTGAAGACAAATTTTGGTTTTTATTTTATTGTTTTTTACATTTTCATTTCCACGTTGAAACTGATGTTTTTTTATTTTATTTTAATTCACGTTGTAAGACTCTTGCATTAGGAATGAGTGATGATAGGTCTGCAGTAATTATCGTTGGCTCAATTGTAACACCGTCCCCAAATGTATTTACTTTTAAGTGAATATTGTATTGAACCTTATGAAATGGTTAATGAATATACGAAGTTGTGAATTTTATTATTTTTATTCGCGTGAATAGTAAATTGCGTGCGGGGCCCACACCGGGGGCGGGGGCCGCCCGATATTCCCGAGACCGTATATTTTATTCATCTTGGTCGATATAATATTTACATAGTGGTGGATAATGTATTTGGTACAAAGAAATGGTATAGAGTTGACCAATCGATCAAAAAGGCCAAAATACCGGTACTGGTAATTTAACAGATAAAAGCCCGAAATGAATTTCGGGAATTTATAAATCAAGTTGGGGGATGTAAATTCATTATAAGGGTCATAATGATTAATAACACATAATATATTTTATTTGACCCGATAAAATAAAATATATTTAAAACAGTCTGAAAAATGCAACTTTCGGGACCGATTGTACACATCGGGACACAAAGGGATGACCTCCCACATGAGTGGGGGCCACCCCACGTTTTTGGATGCTGAGAATGTCAAATAGGAGCTGTAAATAATGGGAAATGGGGCTGAGGGTGATGTATTGGGTAAGAAGGGACAAAAGGTGGACCTCCACCCCACTCATTTGTCTAATTGAGACAAAAATCATCCCCCTCATCTCACCATCTCCATCCATTCGAACCAACACCCAAGAAGAGGAAGAATAAGCTCTGAAATTCACCATCCTCCATAGCAATTTCGAGCTCAAGCAAAGGAGTTCCAAGGAGGAAGATTAAAGAAGGAAAAAGCTAGGAAAAAGTGTGAAAATTAAGGTAATGACCCTATCATAACTTTTCCTCTATTTTTCTTCTATCATATGAGATATATATCATATGAAGAACCTTGAGGGCTGTTCTACATAATTTAAGTGTAGAATAACGGATTGGAGAGTGGTTCCAAGTCCAAGAACGGATTTAGAAGCCAAACCGGCAAGTTCACCGGAAAATAACCTTTTAGAGGTTATTTGTATTGATTAAGGTTTTGTGATGTTAAAACCTTGTTAGGAACTTGAGTAAAGTATTTTTGAGCTTCGCCGGAGTTTCGCCGGAGTTGGTCAAAGTTCGCCGGAGTTGGTCAAAGTTCACCGGAAATTAGTCAAAGTTCAACCGGGGAGCGTAGAACGCGCGTGAGCTCACTCAAGGTGAGGATGACCGACTATATTGCTTATAATTATTGGGTTAATTTCATAAGATTACCTAAATGAATTATATGTGTTTGGCATGATTTACTTATAATAAAAATGCCTAAATGAGATTATTATTGTTTATAAGTAAAAGTGCATAATATACAAATTTATGTATAAATTGTGTATGATTATGTATTATGAATACAATGGTATAATAGTGTGTAAACTATAAATGAATTGTGATAAATATACTTTTACCTCATGTAAGGAAGTCATGGAAGGATAAAAGTGATATTTTGGTATTAGAACCAAGTTACACTTGAATGTGGAATTAAATTGAAATATCCAAATTATTATGAAATTGCATTGGTTATTAAGGCTAAATGACTAGTATAGAAATATTAGTCGGGAATGTTGGCATGAAAAGTGATAGAACAAATCCTAGGGGCTTGGATTGTGAAAGATGTACCTTAAGTAGTCATACGAAATGTCTTAAGGTAGAAATGAGTAAACGCTAAGTTACCGTAGGAGTAGACCTTAAAGGTTACTCATAGTAGAGGAACTCTAGGCATAGAGTTTGCTTAGTGAACCAGTATCGTGACTAGAGGAAGCCTCGAGCACGATGAAGAATGACTGGAGGAAGCCTCCAGCATTCGTGTAGGACGACTAGAGGAAGCCTCTAGCGTAACGTAATGTGACTGGAGGAAGCCTCCAGCACAACGTATGTAAGGTGATTAGAGGAAGCCTCTAACACCAAGTGGAGTGACTAGAGTCAGCCTCTAGCACGACAAAACATGACTAGAGGAAGCCTCTAGCATGGTAAACTAATATAGATGGGTGTGGCTTGAAGTCACGGGGAAAGGGTTAAATGTTTTCAAAGTAAACATGGGCCTTCGGGCGACTACTTGACTCTATATATAAAGTAAGTATACTTTCAAAAGAGGGTAACCACGGGTTATAACCTATAATATAATAACATCCTAGATCGAGGGTCTTGGAAATTGAAACTTTGATTATACTTAGTATAGTTGTCATTGTACTTGTCAAATGCTTCCAAGTACTGACCTCCCCTTCACGGGGGAGGCCACCTCACAGTTTCAGGTAGAACTTGAAGGTTGCTACCATCACCGTTGCTTCGGGCGGATTATCAAGGAGAGGAGACGTGGTTCGTGCTTCCTCCGTTTCTGTTTTAAACATTCAAATTAATGCTCATGGATACTATTTTCCGAATAATTATTTAGGGCTTGCACGCCCGTGTTTGCCACGTGTGGCTCGAATGCTTGTATTAATATTTCCGCTGCTTAATTAAGTGATTTACATTATGATTGTTTATGGATGTACTAATGTGAATGGTATTCAAGACGCCTTGTATAGTATGGATGAGTTGGACTGCGGTTGACTATTCGTACTGTACGGCGGGTTGTTGACGTGTCCGGGAAGGTCTGGGGCGTGACATCAATTATGCCCAAATTAGGATCAGCTAATTACATTGCTTTGTCAAAGCTTCAAAGGTTATTTACTCTGAGTCTGGTTCAAGGGCGGACGATTACATGTGGTTCTTTTGTTATTTCAGACTCTATCTGAATGTTGTTTTTATCAATCTAAGCCCCCCTCTTAGAAAATGATAATTAGAATTCGTAATCCTGATTATATAGAGATTTTGAGTATATTTTAAAGATAATCTTTTTAAAAAACAAAGTTATAACAAAATTCAAGGAAATATAAAAACCATTTTTTTTTTCAGTTTCAAACCAAGCCAAATTTTATCACACTAGTATGTGTACCCGTGCGCCGCACGGGAAAAAACGTGTGAAAGTTTTGACTATAAAAAAAGATATAGTAGGGGAATGAAATTGTATGCGAAGTAATTATTGACAATCGAATTTTATTTAGTCAATTTTACATATATACATAGGGTGTGGATCAAATAAAAACAACTCTTCCAGTGAAAACTGCAAACCGTTCATTTTTTGTCCAACGTGATGCATTTTAAATGTGGTTTGTCGCAAGTTGTTTGCATTTGTAGATAATTAAGACTTATTTACCAAAATGCCACAACATTACACAGAGTATTTGTTTGGTTTCGTTCGACCAAAGTTTCAAGGTGAAATGGACCACCCATAAAGTGCATTTCATTGGGCAAAATATGAAAAAACTGCAGTTTTCACGTTAAGTGTGTTTTTATTTGATTTAATCCTATATCATTAAAAAACTTTTGTAATTGTTTTCAATATTTGAAGTGCCGTTGGAATCGTTGTTTACTTCAACTTTATTTTATTATTACTATCATCATCATCGTCGTCGTCGTCATCATCATCATCACCACCACCACAACCACCCAAGTGTCGCAAAGACTCTCCCACCTTTGACCTTTGTACAAAAGTACGAAAAGACTGTTTTCGGATGACCCATAGTGAAAATCGCGTCAAAAACTGCGTGGATTGACTGCTCTTACACATCAAAGAAGTGCAGACAGTTTAGTAAGTCATTTGTGCTTTATTTCATCATATTCCAAAGTAAAAAAAGTAGTGAGTATTTGACTTCATAAAAAATGAAATTAAATGTGAGCAATCAAATACTAAATATATGCTGAAAAATATTGTTTTAAACAAAGTTAATTGTCATATAACTCCACATACTGAAGAGTACGTAGTATTCTTTAAAACAACACACATGGCAAAGCTAATTGATGTTGGACATTTTTTTGGACTAACTTACATCAAACCAGCTTTTCAAATGGTATTGTGCTTATACAATTGACCAACTTTCTTTTTCCTCCAGGTCTCGTCATGTGCCGGTATCTCTTCGATTAGAGCATCCACAATGCATCCTTTCCTAGTCTAAAAAATTTAGGCCAAATGTCAAATTATTAGAAGGCTTTCTAATAAAAATGAATGATAGAGGAATGACCGAACAATGAAATATAAAAATGGCTCCAATGCACGTAGTCTTACCGCCTCATTAATTGTCGAGGTGGAATAATATTATATTAATTAATAAAACAGTAATAATAAATTATATACTCCGTA